CGTCGGTATGATATCACTGGATAGAAATTACTAAAAAGTAATAAATTTATTATTTGTTTTGCCTGGGTTACATTTCAATATACTTGAAACTGAGAAAATATTGCAATTTTGGGCTAAATATTCTCGACGTGCGTGGCACGTCATTTCAACGCAAGAGGTTGAGCTTATGAATTAACGTGGCGGTATATGGGTTCCGTGTCATATATAATAGCAGATGACTTCCAGGCTTTATCGATGACTGGACGAGCAAGAATAATTTACCGAGGAAACACAGTGCGAATTATTCCCAATGTATTCACTTTGACNATGACATCACTGGATAGAAATTATTAAGAAGTAATAAACTTATCGTCTGTTTTGCCTGGGTTACATTTAAATATACTTAAAACTGAGAAAATGTTGCAATTTGGGACAAAAAGTTCTCGACGCGCGTGGCACGTTATTCCAGCGCAAAAGGTTAATCCAGCGATGGCAAGGATCGCAGAATCCTTCCACCGCTCTGTGTCGCAGAGATCCGGCGAAACGAGTTACAACTAAACCTCTAACCTTTTCTATCCGTTTCAATCCACTGGCTATAATGAAAAGTAACTCTTGACAAATAAAAGCGACTTCTGGCATAATGATGCACACTTTTCAAAACTAGAAATTCTCTTCTCTTTATCTGTTGTCGAGCCAATTCTTCGAGTTACAAGCATCTGACTAGCGAGAAATATTCCTCTTTTCAAATTAATCCTTTGAAACGTTGTTTGACATTTCGTTGGTGACGTTAGTGTTTCGTTTCACTCGGACATTTAAATTACTTTCGGTGCTGTTGGAAGAAAAAAATAATTTCTAGAGACGCATGTGAAAATTTTTAGTTTAAATTTTATTATAATAATATATTATAATTCTATTATAATAATAAATTCATTTATAATCTTAATTTTTTAAATAAATTTATTATTATTTAAAATTTCTCTTAATCCATTAAATGAATTAATTAACTTCATTTTTTTTACTATTTATATATCGATTAATATTTATTTAATCAAACAACCATGAGTACTATTTACATATATGTAATTTTAATTATTATAATCAGAGGAATAATAATTCTATTTTCATATTTTATTTGTTTAATTAATTTACAAAAATTTATAAAAAATAAACTTACATTTTATTATTTTATGCTTTATATATTTATTATTATAATTATATTATAATGTAATGCGTGTGGTTTCGGCCCAAGATCATATCGAATATCATTTGAAGATTGTTTCCTTCTTTGTACAGAGTGTACCCAACAACAGAGAGAAGTCGAAAGTGTAGAACAAAATTTTTCTATTTGAGGCAACTATACTCGAATTTAACTAATTTTGGACGCGGCAGGAACGAATAATCGTTGAGCAAGAGTTAAGTTATTCTGCAAAAACAAGTCAAAAAAAGTGTAGAATGAAAATGTTTCGTTTCAACTGTGTATTTAAAAAAAATAAAACAGAGTATTTGAATATGTTTCGTTAAAAATTACACGTGCTTGATAAATTTTCAAACTCGATTTCCTCGAAAACGAAACATTAAATGAAAAAATTTTATTCTACATTTTGGGCTTATTTTCTCACGAGGAAAAAGGCCGGAACATCCTGTATTAACATCTGTTCTTCATCAATTGGTTTTTTGAATTCTTCTTAATGGAAGGATTTTACAGTTTTATAATGTAATGCCATATGTATATTATCTGCAGACTTTTATACGTTTAATCTGATTTAATCCAGAGTATTATACAGATAATCTGCAATGTTTAAAATAATTAATTTACTTCAAAAAGAATAACGTGTTGGAATATCAGAAAATAAACGTATTAAAAGCGAATACATTCTTCTCATTCAAAATCAAACTTTTAGATTTTTGGTAGCGAGCACCGAAAGGGTTAATCGATTCATGAAGGCAGCATACGAACGAGAGTTACTCTACAAATTAATCGTAAACAACTGACTGAAAATAACAGATGCCTATCATCGTATGGACTCGACAGATTCTTTTGTAATAATTAAAATCCCTAGCCAAACCAGTTAGGGTTACCCACAATTTTTAACAAAATTTAATAGTCTTAACAGAACCTATGTTGTAAAGAATCGATTCGATCAATAATGTTAAGTAATTTCGTACATATATATTGATAATTTATATATCATTATGTATAATACTCGCTACTTTTTAGTGTTTGAAAGTTTATTGTGTGAAAGATAGAGTTTCTATACGTGACGAGCAGCTGAAGATCGAGCGAATTTTTATGACAAAGTATCAGTTACAGGTAATTATAATAATATATATTATTTACAAAAAATTTATATCCAAAAGTAAAGGACATGATAAAACATTTGCAAATATAATATATAATCAAAGAAAAGGAAGAAAGAGAATTATTAATTATAAAACTAATAAATGTGTATACCTCGATGGTTAAAATAAAAATTATCATCAACGTTGAAAATTTATATACAAAAGTAAAGAACATGATAAAACAACATTTGCAGATATAATATATAATCAAAGAAAGGGAAGAAAGAGAATTATTAATTATAAAACTAATAAATGTGTATACCTCGATGGTTAATAAAAATTATCATCAATGTTGAAAATTGTAGGTGGCCTTGATATTAAATTGAAGGAATTTTTTTAAGCAGATCTATAACTGACTGGTCTCTTAAAATTATTAATAAAACAATTAAATCCCACAAATTACAATCACGCCGTTTCATGAATATTTCAACGAGATTTTTCATGAATATTTTCCCTATTGGACGCTGCGAGAAATATCTTACTTCGTATATACAGGGTGTCGAAACTATTCGTCGTTTAAAAAATGTATTTTTTGTTTCTGTTTCGAGAGGGCTATATTTTGGTACATTTGGTTTGTCTCTAGATAGGAGGTATGAAAATCATTACTATCTTTTCAAATATAATTATACATATATATATATGCTGTCATTTTCTGTAAAAAAAAGTATTAATTATATATCGAAAAACTATTAGTTTAAAAGATATTTGAACTTTGATTTCATAAAGTCTATCATGTGAAAGACGACAAAGCACAAGAGCAGTATCCATACTGTTTTTTTATGCATAGATTTTATAAAAAATATCTGTTAAACTAATGGATTTTAAACGTAGATAGGTTAATACTTTTTCGTAGAAAATGACCTACTGCACCGATTGATGCAAAAGAAATTATATAATTACTCTTGAAGAAATAGCAGTGGCTTTGATGTCTCCTACACGCGTCTAGAGACAAGCTACTTAAGTGTACCAAATTACTGTCCTTTGAAAACAAAGAAAAGTGCATTTGATAATAATCACCTGGATCCCGTCACACCAAAGAATAGAAGGAAACGAAAAAGCCGACTCCTTAGCCAAAGAAGCAACAACACACCGAACAAACGAATCCAACATCCCAATCCCACACCAAAATCTTCTAGCTTCAACGACCAAAGCGGAAAGAGAAGAATGGAACAGAATTTGGACTACGACCAAAATAGAACCAAAATACACGACATAGCACACCATTTCTATCAAAAAATACCAAACAACAATCTAAGCAGAAAAGAAAGGATAGCTATGACTAGAGACTTCGAATCGGTCACTCCGAGATCACACACGAATACCTCCTAAGCAAAACAGAACCACCTTTCTGCAACACTTGCAATCAACAAATCACCACCCAACACCTGCTACACGAATGCAGAAAATACCGAAACGTTAGAAGTAAATACGAATTAAACCAAAACACCGCTCTAATCTGCCAGAAACAACAAAAAAAAACGTTATCAACTACCTAAAGGAGACCCAACTACTAAACCAGATATAAAGAGAAAATTCCAGCACGTCGCTAAAGACCTCGTAGTCGATGCGACTCTTTAACCCCAATATAAAAAAAAAAAAAAAAGTGCATTTGAAACATTTCTTGAGACACCCTCCGTACATACTGTGCAATTATATACAGGGTGGGCCGGAATTCGTAGTACAACCGAGCAGAGGGTGACTCTACGTCGAAAAATGAGAAGAAAATTTGGTATAACACATTTTTATCTGGGTTCCTCGGTTTTCGAGAAAATCAAACTTTAAAAGTTTGTTCATCTTTGCGAACGATTCAGTTGTCCATTCTTCTATCGCGGTTGTCTCCGTCCGAGATAGCGTTTACAAACATTATTTATTTTGTGGTTCAAAGAAATGCAAAGTGTTCCTATTGATAATTAACTTTTTATTTCTCATTACTACTTTCTATTGCAATACTGAAATAGAGTACACTATCACAAGTATTCTTGAAAATGTTCTCCTCGTTGCTGTTTACACATAAGTTTGCTCGACGAATTAATGATATCTGAACAGAATGTAGGCTGATATCGTTTATTAATTTCTCCATAATCTTTTGCATCAAATGTGTAATATCTGAAATATTGTCTTTACAAACTTGTTCTCTGATATATGCCCTCATAAGAGAAAATCTTCGCCCCCTGTATACATTCCTGCGCGTTTAAATTTCCAAGAAGTGAGTAAACACCCTCAATGGGGATGCCGCGAACGATCCTCGGCTCAAAGTAGAGATACCCTCTCGACAATATTTCCCGCAGGTGTAACCATCGCGCGGTGAACTTTGCTCTCTCCCTCTCTTTCTCGCGTGCATCTAACGAGCGAAAGAAACGCCAAGATAAAAATCACGAGGAAGTTGAAACGAGAAATTTCGAGGGTGGTGGCCGCAAGACACGGGCATCTGTCGTTCTGCTTTCACAATGAAGAATTCATACGCGAGACGAGAAGTTCACGCGTCCTCGGTCACCGCGAGCGAGAGAGCGAGAGAGCGAGAGAGCGAGAGAGCGAGAGAGCGGCGAGAGCAAAGGGCGAGGAGAGAGCTCAGGTGCGGCCGATCCGTTTCGGCTAGGTGCCGCGAGCGGGGATCAAGGCGCAGGTGCGCGCCGTGGTGGCCTCCTGGCCGTCGCGTCGGCGTCGGCGCCCCGTTCAGGTACGCGCGCTCTGCCACCGCCACCGCCACAGAACCGCGGCAGGAGTCGAAACGATCACAAGGTCGAGTCACGCAGAGTCGTTCGCCGGTTAGCCCGTCGTCGTCGTCGTCTAAACGACTCTTGACATGAGCCTCGGTTCCCGCGCGTCCGTCAGCTAGGAGAGCAACTTCCGGACCCAAGGTCAGTGATATAACACCACCGTATCATCGCGATCTTCGCGTCTTCGCGCGAGTTTCATTCATCGCCCACCGCCAGCCGCTTCGACGCTGCTCTTTTCTTCCAATTCGCCCAGTGATTTTCCCACTCTTCGTTTGTCTCTCTTCTCTTCTGTCGTGCCAGTGAATTGAACTCGGAGCAAACACGGGGGTGGTTTTCCGGCGAGAAACGAGGGGAAATTGGTCGTGCGAGGCTTGTTTGCAAAGTTGCGTATTCGGCGCACGATCTCGGTTACAGATATACGTGCGTAGCTGCAGACTCGGCGACGTTCAATCAGCTGAGCTCAATCAGGAACTTGTCGAAAGGAAACTGAAAAGTGCACGGTACAGTTCAAGAGATTCGAAATGGAACGAATTCCATATTCGCATCGATCGTCGAGCTTGCGAATCAGTGGAGAATACGGTCGTTTCGAAACGAAACTGATCTAAAAGTTTTCGACCAATCTCGCGAATTATAGACGCATATGGTTGTTTGATATTTGCCTACAGCTGCAGTGACGAAGCATTTGCAAACAAATCTCGTACAGAGTGTTGTACGAAGCTCGAGTCTTCGACACTCAATCTCGAAGACTTCGGTTTTTAAAACTCGTGAGTTAAGATTTGCTGTTCCGAGGTTCTCAAGATTAAAAAAAAAAAAAAGTGATGTTTGACAATGTAGAGAGCTCGAGTCTCCGAGTTTGAGCGTTTGCTGCTCAAAAATCTTCTTCGAACTCGGACAGCTCTAGCCCTCGACAGATCAAATCTCATTTTTTACAACACCGTTTCGTACAACTGCTCGCATAATATTGTACAATTTTGCTGGACAAGTCGGCAAACCACTCCCCAATTAAGAAACCAGAAGACGTAGTGAAACAAGTAGAGGTGTTTGATCGGATCAGTGATCGGTGATCAATGCCCGTGAACAAGCGAGCACCTTCCTAGAGATTCTCGCGGCAAGTGACCACCGTGTGCTTCGTTTTGTGAACGAAATGACGCTCTCGGATACGAGAAGTGAAGTAGATCTGTGCGTCCGTCTTCCGTCTGTTGAATCAAGTCGAAGCTAAAACGAGTGAAGAAGTACCTTACGGTTTCACGTTCGTCCAATCGAACACTTTCGAGAGAGGTATCAATCGGAGAGTATCGGAGGAGAAAGTGGCCGTTTGTTCACGGGCCCGACGAACGCCAGTCAGACACCTGTTACTATGCTCAACAAGAATTCCTCAGCCGGCAGCGTCGAGATTCTCTGGCGACGGGGATGACGAGATTTCGCATCGCGGACGACTTTCACGTAGTTTACACTGTGTGTTGCATGGTTGATAAAAATTATTCAGTCTGGGGCTAATCCGCACGAGGTCGAAACTGGACGTGAGTAGCTAATTTCGCTGCCTCTTTCTTTCCGCGCGAAGGGAGTTTCAAAGAAACTCTGGCTCTACACGTCCATAACTTTGTCCTCTTCCATCTTTTTCTTTCGTCTTTTTTCACTCAACTATCTCGCTGCGTTCTTTCTCGACCGTTCACGCCTGCATGTACCGTGATATGAACCGCGGCTTCAACTTTCGAATGCTACGAGAGCCAGCGGGTCGAAACTTTTGTCTTTAAGAGAAAAAGGAACGAGGCGCGTTTTGCCCGTCGTTTCGCCACGAATTTCGTTTGCAGGTCGAACTTGCGGTAGCAACGGAGGACCAGACTATTGCGTATTCTTACGCTGCGAGTTCGTAGAGTTTTCGTTTCTACGGAAGGACAACTCCGCGTTTCTTAAACCAAGAGTTTATCGATCGTCTCGTGGCTCTCGCGGATACGTGCCTACACCCAGAGAAAAAAAGAAAAAATAAAAAAAACAAAGAGAGAAAATACACGCCGACACCCTCACACTGAGACTTCGCGTATCGTATCAAAATTTCAAGCACGCGAAAGTGTCGGAACGTTTCGTTGGCGATTATTTTTAAGAATTGGCAACAGAAGAAAGCGTACTAGAGAGGGAAATGAAATTGGGACGCGTAAAGGCTGCCTGATACCGGCTTTGAATCTTTAAAAAGCGACTTACAATAGTTTCGCGTGAACTTTTCACCCTCTCCGTTCGATGACTTCTCTCGTATTGAATTGTTTCTCTGTGCATCAATTTCTTTAACTCAACTTTCTCCATTAACCATCAACATTCGTTCTTCCAACTTAATCTGCCCGTTGGTGTCAAATTAAAATTAAACTGTCTGCGATGAAAAATTAAATAGTCGAACAAATAATAAATATGATGAATGATTAAATTTTATTGACTGAACTTGTCGTGTTCAATTGTCAGATACTCCTAAAAGTCAACGTGTATTTGATATCGTGATACTATTTTCTCCAGTTTTGTCTAACGTAGAATCATTTGTTTTGAACTTGTTGCAGTTATATTCCGAAACTTACAAATATCTATACGCGTTGAAATTGCTGATGCATTGAATGTATATAATTGTAGTTATAATGATAATAATAATATTGAGCTGAAGTAATGGAGTTTCTTCATTTTTGTACACAAGTTTAAGTAAAATTGCAAAAATTATGTAGGGAAACACAAATGTAATAAAATGCAGATATAATTGGATTTTTCTTTTTTTTGACAAGAAATGCAAATTCATGGAAGGTTAGAATAAATAATAAATAATGTGTATGAAAAAATAATGAATAAATAAAGTACGCGAATAAATTTATTACTTAATCTAACAATTACAATAGAATGTATTGTTAGTCAGATTTGAAAGCAAATATTATTTGCAACTCTATTTCGTCGTCAAAAATGTCGAAAATATACTATGATAGATGTTGAAAGACATCGAAAAAATATATTACACGTTACACGTTAGAAGTACTCGTACAACAGTGAGAAAAATGTGTCAAATTGACGCGAAGAAAGGATGAGAATTGACTTCCTCAACTTGAAGACTGTGTTTCTTCTGAATCAGGCGCATTTTATAAACCCATAATATCGGCGTGTTTCAGCATTCTGATTGAAAAAGGAAATGTTTATTATTCCGGTGTAACGTGTCGTATATTTTTGTAGACAGACGGATGAGAAGATACGAAACGCGATGTTACAACTTGACAAACGTCGGCTACAAAGTGGAGGAAGAAATCCTATTTTCAAGTTTTCGGTCAAGGAAATGTTCAATCGCGTAGACGTAGGGTCTTTCAGAAGCTAACGACTCCATCTTTTTCGTGAAAATCGGTCACTGTATGCCTGCGACATAGCACCGTGGAACATATTCAAGTATAGAGGGAGGCATGAAACAAACTCTGTGAAGTAAAAGTGGGGCGGCCCCGTCATTTCGCCTCGTGCTCCGTTTACTTACCCTTTTCACCAAGAGATCGATCACGCGTTGTGGATCTGCAGGATCGAAAACACTCTCGTGGACGCGGCACTAAAGCGTTCTTGATGATTACAATGCACTTTTATTTTAACAAACTGTCGCTCCGATATACGAAACGCGTGAAGAACGACGTATGGTACATGTGCAGCTAATCTCTGAAGAATCTGTGTGTAAACCTCTCAGAAACCGAACAAATTCTTTGTAAATATTCATAAATACGGATCATAAATATTCATCATGTTCAATCATCGGTATCAAACATATTCAAATATAATTCATAAATATTTATAAGTGAAAATTTTTATATATATAACAAAACATTAGCAGCGCCGTTGCCAAATCTGAAAATGTACGCGAGTGTCTCTCGTGTGAAGTATTAACCAGCTGTTTTGTTCGAAATTATCAACCTGAAATGTTAACATTTTAAATGATTCGGAGGTAACTTTCTAACTTTCGAGCATAAGCAGTCGATTAATTCATGTAGTGTGCGTTAATTTTTCGTTAACTGTTGTCAATCTTGACAGCTTTTATTTCAAATATCATTTTGCGTTCTGTATAGTTAAAAAGTTGCTGCAATCAAAAAGTACTTTTCTCAAGAGTCAACTTTGAAGAGATATTTTTCACTCGTTTCTGGTATTTATTCGTTTATTTCCTCCTTCCACTACATTTCTCTGTGTTGCTAATAACATTCTTGATTTTTCTCTTCTCTTCTCATCGTGTTTGTGAAAAAGTATGACGAGACGAAAAAGATTTGTGCATCAATAACGCGAAGAATGTGAAGCAGAGAAAAATGTGATAAAATGGAAAAATAAATAAATATTTGGAAATGAGTTTTCCAAAATTACTCTTGTTCATCGTTAAGACAAATTTTTTGACTATGTCATGAATAAAAAATAATGATTTAAATAAAAATTGTTGAATTTGATAACATCTCTCCGAACGTCAACAGGTGAATCTTTATCATCTTTAAAATAATGGATATCACACTTCTTAAATTAACAGCCCCTTTTCATCATTTAACCTGTTAAAATTTCAACTCGATATCTGCAATAATTTCAAAGAAAACAACTCGAAAACACTTTATATATTTGAGATTACAAAACTATTCAAACGATAAATACATTACATCCATCGAAAGTTGATAATTTTCAATTTTTGGTAGAATTTGTCACATACCGTGTATGTAACATTTATAGTAAGTTTTTGCTAAATTAAATGTAACATTTAAACTAAGTTTTTACTAAAACTTAGTCACATACTGTGTATATTCACATGTGTATAGTCACATACTGTTTATAGTAAGTTTTTATTAAATTAAATGTAACATTTAAACTAAGTTTTTACTAATGCAAGTATATATTTCGCAAAGATTACAAAACTATTTAAACGATAAATAGATATATTACATCCATTTGGTTAATAATTCTAGGTTTTCAATAGGATTATATCTAATATTTATTATAATATTATAATATTATTAATATATTATTTATTATTATTATATTTAATATCTAATATTTATTATAATATTATAATATTATTAATTTATAATATTTATATATATTAATATTTATAATAACAATAATAATAAATAATATTTATTATAATAACATTCATGCTGTATAGTAATTTTTTGCCA